AACCTCTAGGCCCAATGGTTAATGCTCAGTCTTTATTTTATTTGACATTAAAGAACATTTGGCAGATATTTTTTCCTTAGAGCAATTATTTTGACTTGGCTTCCAGGACACTATCTCCTCCTGGATTTCCTTCTATCTTTGTATTCTTCTTGTTTACCAGTTCCTCCTCATTTATTTAACTTCTAAACCAGTGGTTCTCAATCGGGGCAATTTTGAGAGAAAGGTTTAGACATAACGTATGTATGCATGAGTGTGTGTGCCTACACATGTGTGCAACATTACTGGGAATCCACTGGGTAGAAGCCAGAGATGTTGCTAAATACCTTACAAAGCACAAGACAGTCCTCTATGAGAAAGAATTACCTGGCCCATAATGTCAACAGTACTGAGGTTGAGAAATGCTGTTTTAAATACCGGACAACCTAAAATGTTCTCCCTGGAACTCTCTATCTACAATCACTCCCTTGGTAATTTCACACAGTCTCATAGTTTTAACTACCATCTATGGACCAATAACTCTCAAATATATCCAGTCTGGATTGTTGCTCTGAACCACTGACTCATATACACAGCCAACTGATTTACCTGACACCTTCACTTAGATGCCTAATAGCTACTCTAAACTTAACACAAGCAGTACTGAATCGTAATATTCTCTACCAAATTAGCTCTTTAGGCAGTCTCTCTCACCTTGGTCAATGACAGTTATGCAAGTCAAAATCTGGTCCTTTTTTTTTTTTTTTTTGAGAGGTTTTTGCTACAGGGTCATGCTCTTGCCAGAAAGACAGAGAAAGACAGAGAGACAGAAAGCAAGAATCACCCCCCAAGGGGGATGGCCACACCACAATCCCTTCTCCTCCATTGTCCTCTCGGGACCTTGGGCATGCATGCACACGTGCCCAGTGTGAGTTTAAGCCACACGAGTCCGGGACTAGAACCGCAGTTGACTACATGAGAGTCCAGGGACATAGCCATTACACCAACTGCTGGTCCCCAAAAATCTGGTCGTTTTCTGATGCCCATGTTCCACTCGTCAGTACATACTGACAGTTTTGTTTATTGTTTTTGCCACAGGGCATATGTGCTCACCAGAGACAGATAGAGAGACAGTGAGAGAGAATGTGAGAAATCATCCCCTGGGGGAGTGACCACACAACAATTCCTTCTCTTATCTTCCTAGGATTTTTGGCAGGTGAGCAAGTGCACCTGGTGTGATTTTCAAGCCACAGAGTCCAGGATTCAAACCATGGTCAGCTATGTGGGAGTTCAGAGTCTTAACCACCATGTCACTTACTGGCCTTCTAACAGCTCTATCTTTAAAGTTATCTCTGAATTTAACCATGTATCACCATATAAGCTACCACTGTCCTAAACCATCACTTTTGCTTGCATTACAGCCAAGATGAGCCTCCTCACTGAGCTCACTTATCACTTAGCCCTTTATTTTCAAAAGAACAAGTGATCAACAAAACATTATTCCTCTTCTCTAACTCACTAATCTCATTTAGAAGGCGACTTCCCTTGGCCGAGTAGTGGTAGCACAGACAGTAGGAGTGCTGCTGCACAATGCTAGAGACCTATGTGCAGGCTCTGGGTTTGTACCTGGGCCTATTTGAGCATGCCAGGTATGCCTGTAATCTGTCTGGCCGCAGGGCTATAAGGGAGGATGGGAGCATAAGGATTCAGCTGAGAATGTCTGCTTATCTGGCTATCTTTCTGTCTGTCTCTCTCTCATGAAGAAAAACAGTGTTTTTCGTTTTGTTTTGTTTTGCAAGAGAGATTTTTGCTGTACAGTGCGTGTGCTTACCAGAAAGACAGACAGAAATAGTGATTTTTTTCTTTCGAGAGGTTTTTCTGCTATAGGGTGCATGTGTTCACCAGAAAGACAGAGAGAGAGAAAGCAAGAAATCACCCTCCAGGGAGGATGGCCACACTGCAATCTCTTCTCCTCATTCTCCTCTCAGAATCTTGAGCACGTATGTACACATGCCTGGCTTGAGTTTAAGCCACCAGGTCTGAGACTTGAACCATGGTCGATGACATGGGAGTCCAGTGACATGGTCATTATGCCAACTGCTGGTCCCAGAAAGTGGTTTTTTTTTTTTTTTTTTGAGGGAGAGATTTTTGCTATAGATGTGTGTGCTCACCAGAGAGAGAGAAACAAAGAGATAGAAAGCAAGAAATCACCCCCAGAGGGTATGGTCATACCAAAACCCCTTCTCTTCCATTCTCCTCTTGGGATTTTCAGCATGCACACACATACATGCCCAGCATGTTTTAAGATGCTGGGTTTGGGATTCGAATTTCAGTCAACTACGTAATCTGCTGGTCCCAAAAAATAGCTTTAAAAGAGAAAAAATGTCCTTATTTTGCCCTACATCATCTAGATTCTGTTAACTTTTTATAAATCTTACTGTGTGCCACACTTCCATGATCTCGTTCATGGAGCTATACAGGTCTCTTGCTATTCCCTTTCTTTCTTTCTTTCTTTCTTTTCTTTTCTTTTTTCCCTTTTTCTTTTTGTGGAGAGGTTTTTGCTATAGGGTACATGTGCTCGCCAGAAAGATAGAGAGACAGACAGATTTCTGGGAGAGAGGGCCAGCAGTTGGCATAATGGCTATGTCATTGGACTCCCTTGTAGCCGACTGCGGTTCAAGTCCTGGACCCTGTGGCTTAAACTCACACTGGGCACGTGTGCGTGTGTGCCCAAGATCCCAAGAGGAGAATGGAGGAGAAGGGATTGTGGTGTGGCCATCTGTCTCTCTCTGTCTTACTGGCAAGTGCATGTGCCCTATAACAAAAACCTCTCCAAAAAAAAAAAAATTCCTGGGAGAAAATTCCAAAGCAACTGCTGAATATTACCTTAAATAAAACTATTATAAACATATCAAGGTAAGGTTCTAGCACTTGCACCCTCAACTGGAATATTAATAAATAAAAGGTGCCTATAAGCATGCTCTCTAGAAAGCAGTTCATATAATTTTTCTATTAAAAATGAAAATACATGTAGACTTAATGTATCAATAAACCAAAGTTATCTTTTTTTTTTTTTTTTGGAGAGGTTTTTGCTATAGGGCGCATGCACTCGCCAGACAGACAGAGAGAGACAGAGAGATAGAAAGCGAGAAATCACCCCCCAGGGAGGATGGTCACGCCGCAATCCCTTCTCCTCCATTCTCCTCTCAGGATCTTGGGCACGCACGCACACGCGCCCAGCATGAGTTTAAGCCACTGGGTCCGGGACTTGAACCATGGTTGACTATGTGGGAGTCCAGCAACATAGCCATTACGCTAACTGCTGGTCCCAACCAAAGTTATCTTTAAATTGTCATTTTGAAGATAAAATAGTGAAAATTCAATCACAATAATGTGTCCAAAAATGATTTCCATAGAGAAAATACAAAGGACAAAATCATACTTTGTATTTACCTTTAAAAAAAAAAAAAAGATAGCACATGCATAAGAGAGAATGGGAAAGAGAGATGCACCCTCATAGGGTCTCATCATTCTATGATGGCTTTTCCCCAGTCCTCTGGCTGCTCAGGATCCTGAGCACTTGTGTGCACACCCTACATGTTTTTAAGTCAGCCAGCAGATCTGGACCTGTGGTTGGCCATACAATTTCCAGTCTTGCAGGGCACTTATACTACTGTTGTACCATAGTGGCTGGGTCTGTATTTACTTTTCTCTCCCAATTTGCCAGAGGGCATGTGCACTCACTGGAGGGAAACAGAGAGGGAAAGAAAGAATCCCCTATGGGGCATAGTCACACTGCAATCCCTTCTCCACTTCTCCCTCCTTTTGGGATTTTGGACACAAGCGCATGCAGGCATGCACATACACACTTTGCATGTTTTTTATGCTGCAGGATCTAGGACTCAAACTGTGCAGTGGGTCCACGTGAGATCCAGCTACCTTACCTACCAGGTCATGGTCTGGCCCTGTATTTACTTTTAAATTAAGAAAGATTTTGTTTTTGCAATTACACTAACAATTCTTTTTTTTTTTTTTTAAGATTTATTATCATCATTTATCAATTTTGACGAGAGAGAGGGAGAGAGAGTGTGCAGGCGCTCAAGCCACCAGGTCTAAGGCTCAAATTATGGTCAGCCATGTGGGAGTCTAGTGACTTGAGCCACTACGCCACCTGCTGGCCCCAATATATTAACAATTCTAATTGAAGTGCTATGGGCAGAAGTGGGCTTCATATCTCTAAAATTCTTTCAACAGTTGGATTTTTGTGCAACATTTTAACTATCGTGACAAGTTCATTACCTAAATTTAAATATCATGTTTATTCATGAATAAAGAAGTAATAAGTAGAAAAGGCTTCTATTATTAAGTAGTATGGTCAAGACTATTTAAAGCAGAAAGGATATGTAGCAGATTGCTAAAGAACATTGAAAGCAGACATTCAAGCCATGGGTTCTACAGTGAATTTTAATACATTTAGCATCCTGTGACTTGAATATGGCTTTGCTCATTTGACTAAGGTATCACAATCAAGCTATTCAGTTGAACTACACAGTCTAGTTCAACCATATAATTAAAAAAAAAAAAGGATAAGAAAGAAAAAACCTACACCACTGAATCATAATGAATGCTTTTAAGACTGCCACAAAAAAGAGTACTCGTTTAATCATTACGAATAATTTTTAAAGATAAGATTTATTTTCTAAAATTTACTTTTTAACAAAATACTACTGTTCATGCTTATGAGACTTTAAAAAATACAATATATTTACTTTTGTATGTAAACAATCCTGCACAAGAATTATTTTACACATAGGATTGCACAAAATAAAACTAATTTCCTTGTAAAGACTGGGTTTAATGTATACCTCTATACTTCAGGCTTCTACACCCAAGAATAGGATGGTATTAACTTAAGGATTAAACATGTCTCCTTTTCAAACAATTTTTTCATTTAATAAAAATAACAGCTGCTTAACACAGAAATCAGACATTAGACATTGTACACATAAAAAATCACTCCATACCTCTTGTCAGCAAGATCTGTTTTATTTCCTACTAGCATGATGATAACATCACTTCCTCTTTCTGTTCTGACATCATCAATCCATTTTGTTGTTTGCTGGAATGAGTTAACATCTAGTACAGAGGGTAGATAGAGAGATTAGTTTTACTGAAAGATGTCTCCCAAGAGATGGGTATTCCCCCCCAAAAAAGGCCCTGGATGTTGGAAGAGGGCTGGCACATTAAGACCCCACTTTTAATGTGCCTGCAACATAACTCCATTTTATCTGATTACAACTGTCAGTGATCTAAAATCATAAAAATATACTAAAATTTCCTTCTGGAATAGTTTAAAAATACTTGCACATAACCAAATGAGTGCAATGTACTATGTAACTGGGGGGAAAAAAAGCTTTAAAAAAAAATGTAAGGACAGCTATGACAGATAATATGGTGTCACATTGCCACAATTTTTTAATCACTTACACATACCAAACATGACAAGGAGAGCATTTCCAAAAGTATGTCAGCCAGTAAGTCCCAACACATCCAGAAAATTTGTAAAGCCTTTAAACAGCTTACAACACCATTCTGTTTGCATTGCATACTCAGTTTGTGATCACTTTAACCTGAAATTTATTAATTTAATAAACCAAAATCAACTGCAACAAAATTTTTTCTAGTGCTGGATTCTGAGTACTTCAATACTTTTTTACAGCACCTTAAGAAAATAATTAACTAATATTTTAACCACATTTGTATAAATGTGAAAGAAAAAAATGTACCAGGTTTTGCTTGCTTTAGTTAAAGTAAGCACAAACATTTTAAAGCTATAAAACTTGTCAATGCACAATAATGAACATACATTAAAAAAAAACAAACAAAACCAAGTAGCAACCCAAAGTAAAGCTGCAAGAGAAGACCGCATGTAGCACATTAAAAAAAAAAACAAAAACTCTGATTGAAATCTAACTTCTAACTTTACACTCAATTACTGTTTAATAGATATGACCTCTGATTGAACAAATATGCAAAAAATGCACAATAACTGTTTTACTAGTGTGTAACCAAGTTTCTTTATAGAGGATTTTAAAGAAGTCCAAGATGCTATGCAGCCTGGTGTTCCTATAAACTGTAGAACATTACATGAAACAATGTTTAATATTGCCTAATATATGTCATAAACCAATTTACAAAGATGACTTCAGAGAGCATTTCCTCTCAGTCACTGATGCTCCATGGAAAACTTACAGTCACTTTTAAGGCCAAAGGCTTTATTCAGCCTTTATGGAAAGAAGATAGACCACTATTCATTTCATCTTGTTTTAATTTTTTTCAGGGAGAGAAATTAAAGTGTAATTAGTTAGCAAACAAAGTTAAATAGGTCAGTCACAGAATCCAGATATGATTCAAATAAAAATATTAATAGAAAATTGCACTTTATGTTTTCTCTGTTTTCCTCTATAGAGAGAAGGAGGCTGGAAGGGGAAAGCAGAGAAAAGCTGGCTGGCAGAAGCTTTTGATAGCCTCAACAGATGCTTAGGAAGATTTGGAAAACTTGGCAAGAGGTTTAAATGCAGATTATTTTATTTTAGTCAAATTTGAAATCAAACCAAATGAAAAGGGAGACATTCCTCCAACTGTAATTATGGTATGGCTTAGGGATAACAGGATACTAAGAAGGCTTTGAAAAAGATTCATATTGGACCAGAAAGAATATCTCTGGGAAGAAAACCTGGCACTGCAGACATAAATCATATTGCTACAAATACCAAAGCAAGTGTTTCTGACCTGGCTGGTCTCTGAAAAAGATTGCTATGACAAAACTTATTTTTACATGCCAGTAGGAAAGCAAGCACAAGACAAGAACATACATGCAGCTAAGCTAAAGGGTGAAAGAATATTAGAAATGCGTAATTCCCCCCACTCACTTGTGATATCATAAACAACAACTGCCACAGTGGAGTCACGAATGTAGCTAGGAATCAAGCTCCTGA